GTGCTGACACCTAACAATGCTGCTGAGCTACGAGCTTTTCTGGTATTAGTAAACTGGCATAGAAAATCCATTTCATGCTTGCCTGCTGGCATAAATCCTCTGAGTAATTCGTTACAAACATGAAGATGCCTTGCTCTCCTGGTAACCTTGTCTTAAACACTGGAGGAGAGCTGTGGTGTCTCACTGACTGCTGAAAGGCAGCATGAATGTCACTAAATTATTGCTTCATGTGTTCTGAGAAAAGCCTAGAGAAGTTAAGCTCCAACTGATGCTCAATACTAGCTAGAAGATGATTTATAAGAATTGTATAGTACACATTTGCATCTAGGATGTGAGACAATGATGCTCTCATCATAGGTAAAAATCAAAAGCCCTTGAATTAGAATTTGTCATTCTAATTTTAACTTGGCAAAGTCACTGAATCTTGTAAGTGATGTGAAATCTTCACTACCAGACTGCTGTTGAAGGCCGTGTTGCAGCAGAAGGCTGAGGTATGGTTTGGGACTATAATACCAGGCTCCAGAAAGGCTTCTTAATGTAATGGGCAATTCTGATTTCTTGAGCTCCCCGGAGAGCATATGCACCAAAATACTCTCTATAGGTAAAATCTATGAATTCAAATTAATGAGAATAATTTACTGAGTCAACCATGTTAATTTAAAAGTTTGAGTGACCTGCTTCTGGAGTAAACTCTCCTTCTGAAGTGGGAAGAAATTGCAAGGATGGAATGAGGTGATGTTTTGGTCCAATATTACATATAATAGAATGAAATCAGAAGCAGGTAATGTAGATTAGATACTAATTTTCAGTGGGGCCCTTAAATTCCAGTGAATCAGCCTTTCTGAGTTTGTCTATAAATGCTTAGATGTATAAAAAAACCAAGCATCCACTCCTTTTGAATATTGTACTATATCACAGATCTCAGCACCTGATCACCAGATCTGAGGTGGAGGATCTACTTGCTTCTATAATCTGTATCTGAAGTAATTAACCTTTCAAGTCTAGCTAAGCAAAAAAATAAAGCCTGGAAATGTTTTTGTACCTAGTATTCTTAAGAATCACTTAACCCAGTTCATAATTGTATGTGCTGGATGGGATATAAGTCATCAGTCAGCGGAAAGGATTATACCAAAAGGGAGTCTCCCCTTGGCTTAGGAGGTGCCAATAGTGACCCAGTATACCTAAAGGGTTTAACATTAAAATGTTGCGTTGCACATTTCTCGTTTGTGTCTACATACAGGAACAAAGGTTTCTAGGAAAGCCTGATCAGAAATGTTGACATGATAGTATGACAACAATATAGCACTATGTGAAAAGACGTAATTAGCAAAACACTAAAAACTAAAATCACTGCAATTAATATAATTTAATTATGAATATTCCTGGTGATCGTATGTGATGACAATCTGCCGAAGGAACTATTCTCTCCTGTTTAAAAGCATTTCTGTCATCTTTTCAAAGAAAGGTCAGGTAATTCATCCACTAGCAAAATTACAGATGAGAGAACTACAAGATGAACAAACAACAGATGACAGACTGAGCAGTTTAATTTTTTTAAATTTTCATCCTTCTCTCTTCTTTCTGCCTTTTCTCAGGTAGCAGTTTAAAACCTGAGAACATATATGCTAGCCAATCCCACAACACCTTGTTTGTGTCTTCATGTTGTAACAGCAGACTTAACTATGAAATACAAATTTGAAAATTTTGCTTAACACTGTAAATAATTTAAGGCAGGGATCAGCTCCAGGAAGGATGGGTTTGCTATTAAAACTCTGGAGTAGGACCCAAAAGACTGGGGCTCTGCTATAGCCTTCCAGTGTGATGTCAAGTCACTTGAATCTCAAGTCAGGATCACACTGAGACGAGTAGCCCAGCCAATGCCAAGAGCCTTGTTCCTGATCCTAAAAGGCTGCGTGTTTGTTCAGTGTTTACATTGCACTTCCCAGTACTTTTTAGCTTTAAAAATAATTACCGATGGATGACAATAACACCCTTTTTGAAACTTTGCATTAAACAGGTGGAGTCACACAGCAACTGGTCTGACCTGGTTTGTGTTATCTCAGATGAAGGATGCCTGACACAAGGAGAAATCTTTTGGCACTACCCAACGAAGTCACAGATGCAGCTGGGAACCCCAGCCTTGTGCAGCAGCAGCAGGGTGCACATCCCTCCGCCGCGTGCCCTCACTGGGCAGGCGCAGCACTGTCCTGCTTCGTTCCAGGCTCCTCAAAGGGCTTCTGCAAGGTTTGCTGCAGTCAACTGAGGGGTGGACCAAAGAACTTGCTCTGAGCCTTGCCAAGGTAAAATGGGATACACTGGAGACAAGAGCATCTAAGGAACTTAAATTAGGTGCATCGTGATAAGGTATGAGGTATTTGGTGAGTGGCTGGAGGAGAGGAGATGGAAGCAGGACATGCTGGAACCTGCAGTGGGTTTCACAGGGGTGAATGAACTCTTTGCTCCTACCAGCATATTACTGACTGGGGGGACTGAGGAGCCTAGGGGTGGGGAGGGCAGGAAGGGGGTGCAGGACTCTGCCTCTGCAGGACTCACTGGAGAATCAGGCCTAATATTAGATTTTTCTAATCAATCTTTTTGAAGATAAGTTACTACTAGTAGTAGCAAGACTACACTTAAAAGGCTTTCCCTCCTTTACCTCGAAGTAAATGACTGGTTCCGTTTACTCTGATGCTTACCTCTCAGCTCCTGATTAAGTGATCAAGCAGATCAGGGCTGATAAGTGTACATGGATGATAGCAATGATCAAAGTGAGTTTTCAAGACTATCTATATGATTTAGAAACACAAATTAAGTTTGTTCCTGTGTTCTTTTAAATACAATCACTGAATAGCCGTTCTATGAGTAACTTATCTACTAAATCATAGAATCATAGAATCACAGAATGCTTTGGGTTGGAAGGGACCTTTAGAGGTCACCTAGCCCAACCCCCCTGCCATGAGTAGGGACAGCTTTAACTAGGTCATGTTGCTCAAAGCCCCGTCCAACCTGACCTTAAATGTTGCCAGGGATGGGGCATCCACTACCTCTCCGGGCAACCTGTTCCAGTTCTTCACCACCCTCATTGTAAAAAATTTCTTTCTAGAAATTGCTAGAAGAAACTTCACTCACTCTGTGAAGAAATGTCGTTGCAAGTCCTTTAAGAATTTCATTTTCTTGCCCATAAATTGCAGCTCTAGAGAGAGAGAAAAAAAAAAGCTTCTGTTTGTCAAGGTCAGGTACACAATCTTTAAGAGATGTTTAGAGGATATCCTGCATATGCAAAATCTCCATGGCAAACAGAAAGAATCCCAAAGGTATTTTCTTGAAACCTTGCCATCTTTAAGGAACTGTTGATTCTTTTGGATCCAACTCATTAAATGTCTGAAGTACTCCTATGGTCACTATGATTTTTTTTTTTTTGGATGGGTCAAGAAAGCTCTTAGGTGAACTCCAGATTCTATTTTTAATTAGGTCTGAACTGTGTTCTTATTTGCTTTAGATGTTTGCAGTATGGATCACTACTCTTTTTCTTCTTGATGCAGCCAGAGGTAAGACACATAACTGGTAAAATCTATAAACGGTAAAAATTGTTGTATGCCACAATAACTATATTTTAGAAAAAGGATGTGCTTTGGAATGCATTTAACGGACTTCTTCATTAGAAGCATTGAGTTATGTCATGTATTTCACACATTTAACCTATTACTTTTTAATTCTGTAAAGGTTTTTGCAGCTAGCAAACAGAATGGGAATTAGAAAGGTATTTTTATACATGAATTGGTACCAAAATTCTCCCAGAACAGTTTTCCCTACCCACCCTCAATCCACACCAGCATTTATAGTAGCTACAACACTTGTAATGCCAGCCTAGGCACTTACTCTTCACAGTGCTATACAGAGAACAAAAAAATAGTGCCGTTCCAAAACACCTCTTTACCAACAGGAAAGAATAGTTCTACAGGGACGGACACACAGAAAGAGCAAAGAGAAACAAAAAGACACAGTCCAAACGTTCTCTGGCATCAGAGGAAAGACCCCTGTGAAAATGACTGGATCACTTGTGGAGTCTCTAGCTGCAGCTCCACAATTAAATCTTCTCTTTCTCTAGATGTATTTCCAGTATATATATCACTCTACCCCTGCGTTTTGTACAGATTAACGAATAGAGCAAGTCATGGTCTGATGTAGTATGAATCTGTCACCTATCCTAGGTAACAATAGTTTTTCATTGTTTTCAGCATCTTTTTAATAGTAATAAAAATTATTTGGGATTTCACAACTGTTGTGCTGTAATACTGGGTAAGGATGGTATTTAATGGCAACACCGGTGTGTCATATTTGCATCATTACTATATTAAAGCCGCAATAGAAATTGGGAAACTCCAGTCCTTCAGGCACAGACCACACTTCCTGAGGCTGTGCTTTGTTCTAGGCTTCCACTCAAATTCCACTTCATTGCTTCTGCTAAAATCTTATGGTGATAAAAAAAATAAGGGAGACATTTAATGTATGTTATGGAGCAACCAGAGGTATCTATTTTAATGTTTTGGTTTTGGTTTACTTCTTCATGAATTGTTGCACAAGAAATAATGATTTACATAATCCCTGGAGCATTAGCACTGATTTGGAGGACTGCTCTGCGCTGGCAGCAAAAGCTGGTTTGTTCTCTGGATTCGTAAAGGATCAAGATTTTATTGTCTTTTTCCGATGGCTGTGTTAACGATATGTTTGACAAAATAAGTCATGAGTTTGCCAAACTGAGCTCTACACTACTTTTGCAACAGGAATCGTTATTGAAGTTCAAGTCCCTGCTACATGCACAAGGCACAGGAGCACAACTGAGCCCCCTAACGAAAAATGAACACAGATGCCATCCTAATCTGAATCAGCCATTTTCCGCTTCCCTGGTATAAACGCTATCCTGCCAGCTTCTTGTAAAGTGGTGGCTGCATAACCTGCTGCTTTCCCAGAACGCTAACATTTTTCTTTGCGTACCCCAGGAAGGGAAGCTTGCTACAAAAGGCTTGGATGCTTTACAGATAGTCCCCCTTGGTCTGGGATCCCAGGGAGAGAACTGGCAGGCTTGCCCAGCTCTCCAGAAGCTGTGAACACCAATTTCCTCCTTTACACTAGAGACAACATCATGAAATATCAAGTAAGAAACTGCTTTGTTTTAATAACTGATAGTATACTACACATTCAACCAATTTACAGACAGTTTCTTTTCTCCTGTATTTTTGCTCAAAAGTCTCCCAGGAGAGGCCCCAATTCTGTATTACACACTCCATGAACAGTCTGTCCCAATTTCCTCTCATCTCATTTCTTTTTTTTTTTCACTTCAGCTCTCTGACAGGCCAGGTATATTTACAACATATTTATCGCAGCCTTCTAACACAACTTATCTGAGATATTTTGGATATATTTTATACACTTCTCTACACTAAGCTAATGGCCCAAATTCAGTTTCAGGTTTAGCATTATAAAGCCAGAGGTAGGGAAGGCAGTACAAAAGGAAAGCTCAATTTTGGCTCCTGTGCGTCTCCAGCTTAAAACCACATTTCAGTCTGGTACATACGACTCAGGGATGTGGTTCATACACATGTTTACTAGCTCCTCTGAACTACATATGATTGGTCTCAGAGGCTCTGCTTATGTGGTGGCCAACACTGAGCCCTAAGAGCCAGTAAATAGTTAAGAGTGAAGATCAGAAGAGAAAGTATCCGTCTTCAGCAGAGAGGGGAAGGAAAATAGGATGAAAAATTAAAGGAAAGCTTAGAATGGAAAACAGAGGACTAAAGAAAAAATTAAGGAGAGAATGAAATCATATGTGGAAAAAGAAGGAAACAACCAAAAAGAGAATGAAATGGTGATGGATAAAGAAAATAAAAGAATATTAAACACTTTTGGAGGAATGGGACTGAGGGGAAATGAAGACTAAAAAGCTAAAGAAAAAGGTAAGATATACTTTAGAGAGAGCTTGGAGGTTTCTCTTACAGAGTTGAACCAGGCTATCCCTCATGAAAATACAGCAGGTAGAGAAGCAGAGATAGCAGACTGGAGCTGTATGGAAGAAAAAAAGTAAAAAGGTGAGGTTATCTACAACATCTGCAAACTACTGGCAGAGAGAGGAAGTTCTGGACTGTGACAGAGTGACAAAAGGAAGCAGTTAAAAGGAGCCTGCAGGACGGTTTTGGATGGATCAAATGGGAACGTACCAAAAGATTCCAGCAGCCCTTTCCACTGAAGATCAGCAAGCACTGGGAAAAGCTCACAGCAGGATGCTCAAGTTGTTGGAGATGTCCGGGCTGGGCTTGTCCATAGCATGAAGCAGTTTTGTGGAGCTATAGACTAGTCTGGCAAAAGAAGAGAAATGACCATCGGAGAGTGTGAATTTTACTTGGACAAAGAGCAAGAAAAATGAAGCAAATTAATATGAAAAGGGAGGGGGGCAATTTGTTGCTGTTGTTGCCTTACATTACATGAAAAAGGCTTCACAGGTCTTTTTTTATGTAAATGGCAGTCACAAACAGTGGAGGTGTTTAATGATTTCTCCTGTTTGAGTCACCTCAGAACAAGTCCAACATCTCTAGCTGAGGGGGCCTGTGAGGTTTTAACTTTAATCAGTCTTTCTCTGAAGGTGAGATGTGTGCTAATTAGTGCACGACATCACCTTTGAAGCTTACAAAACCATAACAAAAAAATAAGAGCCAAGTTTTAAAACAACCCAGTATTCAGAATCTCTTTAAAAGAAAATAATGCCTGCCTTCTCAATAAACCCCCAAATACCTACAGCCTCTGATGTTGTAAGCCTGGTGGGCTTTCTCATAAAATATAAATAAGCTTAGCAATGAAGGTCTTCTCTTCAAAGAAAAAAGAAAGAAAAATAAGTATAGATTCCAAGTCAACAACATAATACCTTGCAGAAGATGCTATCCTTGTACTTCTATGGCCAAGTTTGATAAAATCTTGTATTTACATGGCGTGTTGTACCAGTATATCTCAAAGCATTGTGCAAAGGATGCCAGTGGCATTAGTTCAATTAACTAGAGGAAGTGAATAATTTGTTGAAGCGATTAATTGACATCCTCCAGCAAGGCAGTTTACGAGTGAGGAACAAGACCCATCTCTTCAGAGTACAGAACTATGCCTTAGCCATTGAGGTACTCTGCCCTCTATCAAAATGTACACTGGGATGGAGCAGTCACATCCTTGTTGTGTTGTTTGTTGGTTGCTTTTTTTGATACAGAAAATTTCTGCGACAAATCCTTCAACTATCAAAGCTTCGAATTTCCAAACACACAGGAAAACTCGCTTCATTATACACGGCCATCTTGCTGGAGCGGACCTCCCCTGGATAACAAATATATGCAGGGTATGGTATGACTATTGTCTGACAGTCATTTTACTTGTATTTGAAAGTGCAAATACCTGTATCACCCCATTAACTGGCTTAAAATTCCCACATAAAATTTAGACCTCTGTTCTCTTGTTAATTCAGGGAATATATGAGCGGAAAAAAAAGGTCAGAGTGAATCTCAGTTCCCCAAGGGCCGCCCTCTTTTTCCCAGCTATGAGTATAGTGCACCTCAGCCTTCTGCTAAATGCCTTTTTGCTGCATTCACCTCCACAAAGCAAGCTATAATTAATTGATTTTTCAATTCCTTGCCAATAATAAAAGGGAAAAAAGTCACTTTTCTCACCCCAGCAGAAGGTCAAAATAAACATTTCAGTTTGAGTGAGGCATTTGATCTGATAAAAACAAAATGCTTTGTTCAGCAGATTGGTGTCATTTTATGTAGGGACATTTCAAAAATGAATTTTTTTTCAGAATGAAAAATCAAAATGTTCCATTGCCAGAAGTGTATAAATAGAATATTTTGGTTAAAATATATGAACTTCAGGGCTGAACAATTCGAGCACATGAATAGAAATTTGTGAACCCTTTTAGATGATCCAGTAAAGTTTGGACAATAAAAGAGAAGTCGTACTATGCACTTTCTAACTGGGGTGCTGTCATTAAGAGAAGTTGATACCCTAAAGCCAACCAAGGCCTCTGGAATGGAAAAGAGAACGGAAGCAAGCTTCTGGGTGTCTATATACAGTGTTCAAATCACTGCCTCCACTCTGCCTCCTTGTGTTGATTCTTCAGTATTAGTAGGAATTAATATACTAAAGATGTGCCTTTACCAGTCACATAAACAATGTGAGCACCGGGCTATAGCAAAACAAAATATTGTTTGCATATACCCTGCTACAATTGTAATTCACCCCTGTTTGCTTCTGTTCTCCTGTTTTCATGTTTTCCACCAGCTCATGTTTCACACTGAAGACGTGAACTGCATTTTGACCGACTGGACAGGTGGCTCTAGTGGTTTGTACACCGAAGCGGTTAACAACGTCCGCATTGTGGGGGCTGAGCTGGTTTATCTGGTGAACCTTCTTGAGGTAAAAGTATCCATGGAATGTGAAAGCCAGCACATAGTCCGTGTAGGCTGTGTTCAGGGTGGTACCTTTAGGTTTGATGCAATAGAGTCAGGAAGTACGGAGGTACTCAATAACGCAGCTGAAAATGTCATAGAAAGTCTTTAATCTTGCAGAAATGGAAATACCTACTTTAGTGTCAGACCACAGATAAGCATGTTCCTAAGGCTGACAGGCCATAGTTTCTGAAAGTTTTTCTCATGATGGGCTTTTTACTAGATAAGACATCAGACTGGAGACTGTCTAGCAGAATGGGCAGGGTGAAGAGAGGTAATACAGGACCGATACAGTTAAAACCTCCCTCTGTGGGTCACACATGCTGCCTCCTGCAAGACCTGAATCACAGCACAGAGAAGCGACCCTCCTGCAGCCACCAATGTCAGGCTTCCCGTGCAGAAGCTCAGCTGAGCCTGGCACACCAGCAACATTCCTGGCATAGTCCTCCCCAACCTGCAGGACCTGTGTGGTGGAGCATCTCCATAGCAGGATGGCCGCCTGAGTCACACAGAGGGTATGCCACAGACAAAGACACCGAAAACTCCTCCGCCACAGACCACTGTCCTGATGGGACAGGTGGGTTCAGGGGGGAGGCAGTGGGGTCATTCGCCTTTTGGACAAGCAATCAGTGCAAAGGTAGGGGAGCTATGTGCAGAAATTCCCTTTTCCTTCCTTTCTGTCATAAGGGCCAATTCCTGACAGAGATTATTCCTTTCCAGAAGTGTGATATAAGAGGGGATGGGATGAGTTGGGAACTGCTTCTCTTTAGGTACTGATCCCACCACCCGCACCTTCCCACCCAAGACACTCCCCTCCATCGCCTGCTGGTCTGGCCACGTCCTGACACAGCACGGTGCCGTGATGCAGTGACACAGGCTTGTATCCCCCACTTAACACGCTTATTTTTTCCTTTCCATACATCTTCACAGAAAGACTATGGTTACTCTCCTGCCAACATTCATTTCATCGGCCATAGTCTTGGAGCACATGCCGCGGGGGAGGCAGGGAGAAGGAAACCTGGCATTGGAAGGATAACAGGTACTGAAGATATTTCAACTGATGAAGCTTTATATTTTCATGCAACTTAAGAGAACTGAAGCATCGCTGTTGCCTTATAAACACACAATACAGACTGCAATGTGGTGGTTTGTCGCAATTAACAGTATACAGCTAGGAAGACGGCACACAAATGAAACCGTGTCCTATCACATGCCATGCATTTCATATGTTAACATTCACAGCTCTGAGAAAGGCTCAACTGCACCAGATCAGAAAGGCTTAACTGTCCCAACTGTGGCTAAATAGAGGTCACTTTTCGCAGGTCACAACAACTCCCAGGGAACACTTGGTTATGATGTTTAATGATATAAAAGAACAGGAACAAAATACTGTTTACATGTGGAATAACAGACTTGTAAAACACGAGCAGTTCATTGTCATGTTTGGTTTTAAAAGCCCACTCTAACATGACTTTTCAGCAGTGCAAAAGACTGAAAATCCGAAATGGAAAAATAAAACCCCTAGATCTAGTATGTCAGGATAAGACAGCAAATAGCCATGGACACCCTGAAAAGTAAGCAAGCTGTAGTTGCATAGCTGCACAGAGAGACACAGCGTACGACACACTCACACATCACTTTTTTAAAGGCTCACTATTTTCTGCTTTCCTTTCTCCTCCAGTCAGTTCTTTCCTCTGCATAGGTATTGCTTTAACTAAGCTGTGTCCACAGTAAGCCGTCACATAAGCCATCCAGGGAAACTGGGGTCAGAACTGTGTTGCTTTAGCCCCGAAGAGAGCTCACTGACACTGAAGCGAAGGGGTAACATTTTCAACCAAGCTCTTTTGGAAATAAAAATAGATTTTTGATGAAATAAAAATTCTCAAACAAATCTATGTGCTCAGAATAACATATCAAGATTACATACTTTTCACTAACATGCAAAAAAAAACCCCAAACCTCTCCTTAAAAGATTGTTCCCCAAAAGTAAGCTAAGCACCCATCAGCATTTTACTGTGCTGCAATGCCTCCAGCCACCTTTCTATTAAAACCCTGCTTGTTTTGCTGGCTGTAGGCCACAAACCAGAATTTTATATGTGGAGTAAAGACACAAATGTAATGACATACAGTGCACACACTGTATGTGATGATGTACATTTAGTATTATTTACTCAGACATATCTCCATTTATTTAGGTTTGGATCCAGCTGGGCCCCTTTTCCAGTACACTCCCACAATGGTTAGGCTGGATCCTTCAGATGCAAAATTTGTTGATATAATTCATACTCACGCTGGTCATCTTTTCTTTGACTTTGGTAAGTGTTCACACAAAGGCTGACACCAACACAGAGGCTGGCCACAGCATACCTGAGAGTGATCAGCCTCAATTCATTGTGCATTTCAGCTCCAGGGATTCTCCAGACTTGTGGCCACCTGGATTTTTACCCAAATGGTGGGAAGAAGATGCCAGGATGCAAGCAGCTGCGTGTACCTCCTGCAACTCGGAATATCAACGACCTTATGAGAGGTAAATATATTTTAAAGAAGTAATACCTCATTATTAGCTACAGTTAGAAATAAAGGCTAGGCTAAGGTAAAGCCTTTTGAATGTATATATTCTTTATATAGCTCAGATTTGCAGCAGGGAGAGAATGCTCAGAAATGGAAGATTTAAAGCTGCCTGTGAAATGTCCTCCAATTTTCTTTTATACTAACCAAGGCCCATTCCAGATGGAAACTTCAGTTAAAGCATGCAGGCTTATTCATCACAACCTTTATAAGAGGCTGCCACTGTGCCGACAGACTGACCTCAGTGGGAATTCCACACATGAAGGACCGGTAAAATTTCATTCAAGGATAATCCAAAAATGAGTATTTTAAAATCTGAGCTTTCCTTCTCCCTAGAAAGACATCAGTCCCAATATTGCTGGGGTTAGACTTACTCATCCACACCATTAACAGCTTTAGTGTCTTCAAAGGGAACAGCACAAGGTTAAAAATATAGAAGATGATAAAATGACTGCTCCAGTGATAGTTCATGTTCTTCAAAGAAAGCTGGGCAGTTAATCAGAATTACCCTGGGATCCAGTACAATAGATCCCCCAAATCCTGTCTTCTGATCCTAACCTACAGAAATAAGAACATCTGTTATTCACAGCTAAATGTTTTGAAATCCCTACTGCTAGTCAAGTAATTGGCTTTCAAAAATGCTCTGTCTTAGAACTGGTTGGAGAACTTAGTAACAAAGAGGATTGAAAGCTGGCTGTGCACAAAGTCACTTGGAACCAAAACACTTTCCAATCGGACTGCATAAGAATGCCTGCATTTTCAGAAAAAAAATGAAATATTTTCCAGAGACATTTCACAAGGCTGGCTGCAATGTTTTGTGGTGAAGGAGAAGCTCAGCTCTATTGAACACGAGCAGATGGAGCTGGTTGTTCATGCAGCTCCTAAATATAGAGACAGCCTTAACTCCTGCCTCTTGGTTAAACCTTACTTTGTGCATATCTCTTCTTTTTGACAATATTTACATTTATGTAGTGCTTTTATGTATGAAGTGCTTCAGAAATGCTATTTGGTAACTTCTGTCTACAGCTTTTGATGCAGTAGGGAGAGGAGTATTACGTTCCCATTGTATAGATGTTAAATGAATTTGGCACTAGCACAAAGCAAGCCAACTGTAAGAGCTGAGGTTTTTAAAGTTAAAAACACAGACCCTCCTGAATTAGATTTAAAGAAGGAACTATAAAGAAAACACACTCAGGAAGCCTTGATGATGCAGATTATTTTCAAGAAAAACAGACAAAAATACTCTTCAGAGGGTTTTTGGTGTGGTTTTTTCTTTCCTTATGTAAAAAACAATGTGTGTCAACCAGTCAATACCAACTGGTCTGTCTTTAAGATGCATAAATATTGACAGTAGGTGAAATTCTGATTTCATTATAAACTGTGCCAGCTTGCAATTACTTCAGTGCCTCCAAGACCTCACCCTGTGATTCGGTGAGCCCACACACATGCTGAAGCAGAGTAGAGCCTATTTTTATACAACCTAACTTTAGTATATTGTGCTTTGATGAAGGGGAGACTTCAGAGCCCATGAAGACAATACTTGTTACAAGGGACCTGTAAATAGAAGCCAAACAGCACTTTCTTCTTTACTGCACTGTCTGCTTATAAATTTCACTCTGACCGGAAAATGTACTTGTTTCAAATAATTCTGACAAAATCAAGGACACACTGCCAAACATCTTGCTTTTCAGAGCATTTCACTGAGGTTAAAATAATTACTACAATTACCTTTAATTCTAGAAATGAGTGGAAACTGTGGTTTTACAAAATGCTATGTTGTGATAATGGTGAGCAAATGAAAACTACTTCAGAGCAACTACTACATGCTTTACAAATGCTGTAGCTATTAATTATTCCAGTCTTTGACATATCAAAGGGAAATCCTCCTAAATCCTCCTCGGCTCTCATGCTAAAGTAAAAGCAGTTAAGTACACATAGCAGGACAGGAGGCTGCACGAGGTCCGCCTTGGTGCATCTCCACCTCCATTAACTTCAGCATGAGCACAGGGACGTGCAGATTACAACCTAGCTCTTCCCCACTGAAAAAATATATGTAGCCATAAGTACACTTTTTACTGTAAAACCAAATAATTCACACTTTGAACATCTTTTAATTATCACTTTTTTTTTAAATCTGAGACTTCACTGTATGTACAAATGTTTTTGAGGAAAAAAGACCTACAGGTGTTGTTTTGGCATGGACTTTATGTTAATGTACAGCTTTAATCGTTTTTACCTGGGCTTTTTCCTAGAATATAGATCTGTTGGATGCGGACATAAAAGAAGTCTCCAGTATTACGCTGAGAGTATTATCACTCCCAATGGATTTGTTGGGTATCAGTGTGAAACATACCGAGATTTTGTATTGGTAAGTACCAGGTACATATTTATCTTAGGGGTTATAGCCCTGCCCTTCTTCTTTTAATAATTTCTGGGACCACTTCTACACTCTGGATCATGGGATACAGGGGGCTATGCAGACCCACTGACTACCTTCATCCAGACCATACCCAAAAACCAGGCAAAATGTAAAAGCAGCAAACTCAAAAAAAAAAAAACCAGATCCAGAAGAAAATAAGGCAGTAAATATAAACACCAAAAACAGTTACAAAGGGAGATATGAAGAGTTGAGTGAGAGGCCAATGAGAGGTGGTGGCTGGGTTCACCTTTTCAGTAGGTCAGCAGTAAGGGACACTCAGCCTGGCTGAAGGAAGTCCATCTAAACCTGGAGGAACCCATCATCAAGAGGACAGCCTCTGGATTTCAGAAATGTTTAAACATCTGTATAAACAATAAACATCCATAGTATATATGGCAGGGGAGATATATAGCACAGCATTGCTCGCACAACCCTCAGGTGGCACAAGAAAGAAGGCAGTGTAATGTCCTGGTGTCTCATGCCTGATATAACTGGGCTTTTAGTGGACAAATTCTGGCAATGCAACTGAGGACCGGTCAAGAAGGAAGACAAGTCTGAATTTATTTCCATATACTCCCAAAAGGAATGATTACAATACTGCAGAAAAGTTGTTAATGTTTGTAGCAATGTTGCCACATAACTTGAAAGTTTGATGTAACTCAGGACTTGAAAACCTGAACCCTGTGCAATTTAGTGGTGCAAGAAAAATGTTTTTTTTAATCTCATAATGAAAAAGTGGTGGTGATCATTTAGCCTTTTGTTCATCTAATGCCCCACTAGCCAAAGATCCACAAATATTCGTTCCTACAGAACCTCCCAAATATCAAAATTGAACTATCTAAATATAACAATGTTATTTTTTCCAACTGCAATTAAATCACTTTCACTGAAAATATACACACTTATCTTATTTATTTATTTATTTTAATGGACATCAAGGTCTTGATCTGAATGTTTGATCTATGTAGGTAGATTAGTTTCAATAAGGTTCTGCATGGTAATAAAGGTTGAAAAGCAGACAGAACACATTCCAAAGTGAGACCCCAAGCTTCAGTATTACTAAACTTAAATATATTTACCATATGAGTGAGATCATAGAATCATATAATCATTTAGGTTGGAAAAGTCCTTGAAGATCACCCAGTCCAACCATTAACCTAACATTAACCTAACACTACCAAGTCCACCACTAAAAAATCTACCAATTCAGGGTAGAGCAGCAACCCCACGCCTCCTGACTTGGTGGCTGGATCATTTATAATGAAAGTAAAAACTAGGAATCGTTAAGATTGGAAAGGATCTCTAAGATCATCAGTCCAATCATCAACCCAACACCACCATGCCCACTAAACCATGTCCCAAAGTGCCATGTCTACCCATTTTTTTAACTCCTCCAGGGATGGTGACTCCACCACCTCTCCAGGCAGCCTGTTCCAATGCTCGACTACTCCTTCCGTGAAGAAATTTTTCCTAATATCCAATCTAAACCTCCCCTGGTGCAGCTTGAGCCCATTTCCTCTTGTCCTATTGCTAGCTACCTGGGAGAAGAGACCAACACCCACCTCACTACACCCTCCTTTCAGGTAGCTGTAGAGAGCGATAAGGTCTCCCCTCAGCCTCCTCTTCTCCAGGCTAAACAATCCCAGTTCCCTCAGCCGCTCCTCATAAGGCCTGTGCTCCAGACCCTTCACCAGCTTCGTTGCCCTTCTCTGAACACGCTCCAGCACCTCAATGTCTTTCTTGTAGTGAGGGGCCCAAAACTGGACACAGTATTCCAGGTGCGGCCTCACCAGCGCCGAGTACAGGGGGACAATCACCTCCCTGCTCCTGCTGGCCACACTATTCCTGACACAAGCCAGGATGAATATCCAGCCAGACCTGCTATCAAATATGGTTAGCCACCCTATAATAATTAGCAGACAGCCTTTCAATGGACTCTGTGAAAGATCAATATATTAGCTATATTTTACACATCAGGTAGTAAGGCACAGCATGCATTAAGGTATTTACTTATGGTCTCTGCAAAAGCATAAGGAATTAGGCCAGATTTTCAACCTGTTTCTCTCTGATTTTCAACCAGATGAAATAAGCTGACTATCTCAGCTCCTTCTTTCACCACACTGATAAATACTGAAGATATGATCCTATCTCAGAAGCAAGTACCTTTTCAAAAAAGCTGGGAAAAAGTTGAAATACCCTAATTTCTTATACTTCAAGAAGTGGGATTAAAACAGATAATGTCTTGTAACACACATTGTTATTTTCCCCAGGGACGCTGCTTCCCATGTCCAAAGGAAGGATGCCCGCTGATGGGTCATTATGCTGATAATTTTTCACATAAAACTGAAAAAGAACAGCAGAAGGTTTATTTAAACACAGGGCCCTCCCCTCCATATGCTCGTAAGTGCTTCTTCTGGGTAGGGAATTCTAAAGTGGCAATGAATTACATGTGAACAAATATCTTGCGCTTCTACAGAGAGCTGCTGGAGTTAATGAGTAGCACTTGGCACAAAACCTGGAGTTTCAGGTGTGTTAGGAACATGCAGTACCAGCATTACTAGGAAGGGCTGAGATAATTATAGAACAGATCCACCAATGCTCACCTCTGAGTAAGAAACCCTGCTAAAATTTTGTTAATTAGATGATCACTTCAAAAATTCTATAAAGCTGAAGGTGGGAGAAAAGTTATGCTGAAAGTGCAAAATTTCAAATTAAAAAAAAGTTACAATGTTTCTACTGACAAAAATTTATAAAACTGGATCGTTTCAGGATATTTTTGCAAAGCTCATCAAGTCAAAATGGTGGGAAGTAATAAGAAGTACAGTTTTAAGTGTGATTAATGTAGAAGCAGCCACAGAACTGGGAAATAAGAAAATTCATAAATAAACTGTAATCCATCCCACATGATGAACTGCAAGGACAATAAATGAGACAAGGTCTTTGAGGTCCCCATTCACTAGGCATGAAAATATGAAAGCAAAATTAATAATAACAACAGAAAAATCTTATATCACATCTCCATAAGAGCAAAAAGTAAAAAAATGAATTTGAGTATAGAGAAACTATCCATTTCTCAAATCTGAACGAATACATTAATTTCAACATTTACAGACTGTTGAGTTTATAGAAATTAAAGCCTGAAAAACAAATACAACCTTATGAAGTGGGTGAAGGGATTCTCCTTTTAATACCATGAATTAAGGCCAGTACAAAAACTTTCCAAACCTGGTTGCTTGAAATCAATACGTGCTATTGCATCTGAGACCCTGCTTCTGCCTTAGAAAGTCATGTGGGATGACAGGATGCCCTAACAGCTGTTGGGCTGTGCACAGGTATGAGAAAAACCCTAACCACTCCACATATCAGGATCATCCTGGGAAAGCTGCCAGTTTTGTTTAATATCTCTTTAACATCACAGCAGTCCAGTGGACCTCACTTCATAGTTGAGAGCTAACACGCGACCGATGAGACCCCCCCCAAATTGCTCTTAAGTGTAAGAAATTACAAAATTAAAAGTGAGGCCAAGTCAAAGAGCAAGGTACAGTATTGGCCACGGCAGATTAAATACTCAGCATAGTCAGTAGGTCAGCAAAGATTGGATCTGCAGTTCAGACCACTGTAAAGGAAATTAATACTACCAGAATCACACAGAATTAACATTTGCTTTAATAAAGAGTGACATTTCGTTTGCTTACAAGCACATTTGTGTAATCCTTTCCTGTCCCTGAAAGACACTGAAACATATAAGAAGTTTTACCATCAGGAAAGAAATCTCCTTACAACCACAATCTATTTCATTTTGCTTTCAAAGGCTGGAGAAAAGAGATACATGTCAGAATATCTGCAACAGAAACCATGAAGGGAAATATAGATGTAGCCTTGACTGGAACTAATGGGATCAGGAAAAAATATACAATTGACAAGTAAGTTTAACATGGCTGTTGAAAAAATGGCTCCATGATTGTTGTCATATTGAATTTATATGCAGCTATTTTTACATGTCTCATCTTGTTCTATGTGATCGGTGATTTACACTGGTAATAAAAGTAGCTGATACGTGGTTGAAGTTCCCCATGCTACTAGATTGTGGTCTTGCTAGTCTCTCTTGCTCTGTATTTTCTTTTCTTTTCTGAGGATGACGGTTAGCATAGCAAAGTGGGCAAGAGCAAAGAGCTCTGTAGCTACTGCTGGACTCACATCATTTGGTGATCTCTGAGAAGACAAAGAGCTGCATGATGTGCAGTCATGTAACCATTCCCTCTTCTATGGAATGTGTGAGTGAGAAAGTTGCAGCTTGCTTATGAACTGTGCCGGAGGCTGGGATTCCTGTCCACTGAGCCTGGCTTTTTCCAGTAAATGTGAATTTAAATCCCATAAACTGATCTTTGTCAAGAGCACAGTTTAAATATGGTAGAACCAGCCTCCTCTGTGTTTGAACATAGCCCTGTTACTGGTCTGTACCAGGAGTACTTTTGGTTGCAAAATACACTACTGTAGCAATACACCTACAGGTAATTTCTATGTTAATGTCACACTGTAATGTGCATCCTGTTATAATGAACACTGATACCACAGAAGGCAGGAATGTAAACTATAATTTTCAATTTTCTTCATGGTTGAGAGCTAGCAGAAACAGAGAGAACTTTCTGACTTGGACTTATTTGAAGATAGATCTCATTTTCCAAAAATAACGTCTAGAGTAAACCCCATGGCAACACTGACAAAGGCTGGGCTAACTAATCTAGTGTTTTCATCCTGAAGGGCACAGGAATCTAAGCAACAAAGTCATTTGCATACTTCTGTAGATCCCTCTGAGTAGCTCTCTCCTCCTTAGGTACCACCAAGCCTATACATTGGGTGGATAGGCTGAAAGCCTGTAGTGGGATTCACAATAAGCTCCCTATATAAGAAG